AGAAAAGAAAAGACACCCAAATCAGAAAGGAAGAAGTAAAACTAACTCTATTTGCAGATGATCCTATATACAGAAAATCCCAAGGAATCCATAAGAAAGCTACTAGAGTCAATAAATGAATTCAGCAAAGTTGCAGAGTACAAGCTCAACACACGAAACTCAGTTGTGTTTCTATCCACCAACTATGAAAATAATCCCATTTACAATTGCATCTTAAAGGACAATATACCTAAGAATATAAATTTAACCAGTAAGGTGAAAGACTCGTATACTGAAAACTATAAAACATCACTGAAAGAAATTAAGAAAGACCCAAATAAAAGATATCCTGTGATCATGAGTTGAAAGATCATCATTAAGATGTTAATACTACCCAAAGTGATCTGCAGAGTCAAAGAAACTCCAGGAAATAGTCTTTTTTGAAGAAATGAAAAAGTCAGTCCTCAAATTCAGATAGAATTGTAAACGTTCCCGAATAGCCAAAGCAATCTGGAAAGAGAAGAAACTAGGAGGACTTACGCTTCCTAATTTCAAACTGTACAACAAAGTACAATAATCAAAACATTGTGCTTCTGGTGTAAGGAGAGACAAATAGACCAATGGAATAGAACTGAGAGTCCAGAAATAAACCCACACATCTATAGCCAATTGATTTTTGACAAGGATGTCAAGTCCATTCAATGCGGAAGGAATAATCTCTTCAGGAAATGATGCCGGGACAAATGGATTTCCTCATGCTAAGGAATGAATTTGGAGTCCTTCCTCACACGGTACACTAAAATTAACTCAAAATAGATCAAAGACCTAAATTTAAGAGCTAAACTGTATAACAAAGTATAAAACATAAGTGTAAATCTTTGTGACTTTGGATTAGGCAGTGGTTTCTTAGATATGACACCAAAGCTTAAGTAACAAAACAAAAAGTAGATAAATCAGACTTCATCAAAATTAATTTCTTTATCAAGAAAGTGAAGAGACAACCTACAGAATCGGAAAAAGTATTTGGTAATCACGTATCGGATAAGGGTTTGATATCCAGAATATATAGAGAACGGCTACAACTCAACAACAAAAAGCAATCTACCCAATTAAAAAATGAGCGAGGGACTTGAGTAGACATTTCTTTAAAGAAGCTATGCAAATGGGGGACAAGCACGTGAAAAGATGCTCAATGACATTAACCATTAGGGAAATGCACATCAAAACCACAGTGGGATACCACTTCACAGGATGGGTATTATCAGAAAAATGGAGAAAAAAGCATGTGTTGGAGAGAATGTGGAGACGCTTGAATGATCCTGCGTTGTTACTGGAAACGTAAAATGTGGCAACTGCTGTGGAAGAGTCCGGCAGTTCCTCAGAAAGTTAAACATAGAATTCCCCTATGACCCAGCGTTTCTACCCCTAGGTATACACCCAAAAGACTTGAAATCAGGGAGTCACATAATTGAACACCAATGTTCATTGCAACATTATTCACAATAGCTAAAAAGTGGAAACAAGCCAAGTGTCAATCAACAAACGAATGGATAAACAAAGTGTGGGGCATACAATGGAATGATATTCAGCCATAAAGAGAAATGTTCTGAGACGTGCTATGAGATGGATGAAACTTGAAGACATGCTGAGTGAATAAGTCAGACACAAAAGGGCAAATATTGTATGGTTCCACTTACATGAAATATTCAGAGAATTGAAGGAAGGTGGAATGGAGTTATTTCTTAAGGGGTGCTGAGTTTCTGTTTGGAGTGATGAAAACTTTTTGAAATAGATACTGGTTATAGTGGTACGACTGAGCTCTGGTGGCACAATAGTTAAGCTCTCAGCTGCTGAGAGGTCAGTGGTTCAAACCCAGCCACTTGGCTGGAGAAAAGACCTGTTGATCTGTCACCATAAGATTAAAAACAAACAAACCAAACCCGTTGCCACCGAGTCTATTCCAACTCACAGCGACCGTATAGGACAGAGTAGAACTGCCCCGTAGGGTTTCCAGGGAGCCGCTGGTGGATTCAAATTGCCCACCTTTTGGTTAGCAGCCGAGCTCTTAACTACTGCGCCACCGGGGCTCCACTGGGAAACTCTATGGGGCCTTTCTACTCTGTCCTATAGGGTCTCCATGAGTCAGAATTGACTGGAGGGCACACAACAACAGTTGTACACTTAAATGGTAATTTTTAAAAAAATTTTTTTATTGTACTTTAGACGAAGGCTTACAGAACAAATAATTTCTCATTAAAAAGTTAGGACACATATTGTCTTATGACATTGGTTAACAACCCCATGACATGTCAACACTCTCCCTTCTCGACCTTGGGTTCCCTATTACCAGCTTTCCTGTCCCCTCCTGTCCCTGTCCCTGAGCTGTTGTGCCCCATTAGTCTCCTTTTGTTTTAGGGGGCTGTCTAATCTTTGGCTGAAGGGTGAACCTCGGGAGTGACTTCATTACTGAGCTAAAAGGGTGTCCGGGGGCCATACTCTCAGGGTTTCTCCAGTCTCTGTCAGGCCAGTAAGTCTGG